TGGAGGAGTGACCTGCCGTCTTGTATGAACATGTAATCTTAAACTAGCTGGCTGAGCCCTGGGATTCAGCTCTCACTACATTATACATGACCAAAACTATTACAACTCATTTGCCCATTTTGCCAGTGGGTGCTGCACACTATAAACATTAATGAAGCAAATCATCATTAGGTCAAGTCCATTTTGATTACATCGCCACCTATTAGCATACATAATGGTCAACGGGTTCAATGCATGTTTTACTGCGCTGTATAATACTGATACATTTCTGATATAAAGTGATGGACTGGACATAAAGAAGAGGAGAACAGGAGGAAGGGAAAGCAACAGAGAAGCATCATATTTCATCACATCCCTTTCTAAGAAAATTAGAAATGACAGATAGATGGATGAGAGGAAGGAAACAGAGAGAGAGAGAGAGAGAGAAAGAGAGAGAGAGAGAGAGAAAGAGAGAGAAGGAGAGAGACCTAATACCGGTCTTAGAAAACACTAGGTTCAAAGAAAGAGACATCTAACTGCTGGCAGAATTTCCAAATCACAACATACTGACAATTTGAGTATTAAAAGAGATTTCTTTGATTTAAATAAGAATGACTGGATAGGGGAAACAGAAACTTCCTGTATTTGTTCACAATATACAGATCGCCTCACACATACTTACCAAACAGTAGCATAAACATGCAGATAAGCTGCAGCATGCTCAGTGACCCATAAGCCTTTAGGGGAAAGGTCTCTAAGGCACAGTATGTCTGCACAGGACCATGAGGTAATTCAGCGCCACTCTGTTACTATGCACCCTGCAGCCCTCCTGGGGGTCCCAGGAGGGCTGCAGGGTGCAATGTGTTTGTGTGTGTCAGGGAGACTGCATGGCTATATTTAGGAGCATATCATGGGGCAATAGACTTACAACATGTCTCCTAAGCGCAAATACAGAAAACAAACAAAGAGAAGACAGGAAATAAAAAGCATTTCATATACTTGTAGGAGTGTCTAGAAATAGGTTTCTGGAAATGTTTCAATACAACACACGAGAGGATAAAGCCATTTGGCTCAAATGTGAATACATCTTTCATTAGATAAGTTGGTTTAGATGGAAATATTGGTTCAAATTATACTTCTTTGGCATGTGGACATATAAGAAATCTTTTTGGCAGCTCAGAGAGATGTAATGAACTGAGAGAGTGAGTCACTTTGGGCTGAGTTAGTTGGAAACAACACCATTATTGCCATATTTTCTAAACTGGGCTATTATTTACAGTGGCAGGCAGGCAGGTGTGTGCCATTTCCTGCATACTGTAAAGGTCAACTTTTGTTTATACTACACTTACTACAAGATCCTGCATCAAGTGTGACAGCAGTGAGAAAGCTAGAAGAGAAAGAAGATGTAAAGGAAATGCTCTTGGAGTAATTTGCGCCTATTATTCAAACCCATAATCAGAACAGCTGAAACAGCATAACTATCAAAGGGATACAACAAGTGGTTGTCTGAATAAACAATCCCATAGATGAATGATTTGTGACTCTAAGAAAGCATTGCTCTCTTTTGACGGCACCGTCAAGGTTTTGGGATATCAAGGGGAGCAACAGGTTTGAGGTCAAGTTGCTGAAGCCTCGAGGTGTCAGTCAATGCAATGACTTACTGGATGTGGACAGGTATGTTTGAGTAGCCAGTGCCGTTTACTGTTGCAACATCACATAAACACAGGATAGGACCATACATGTAGGCCAAATGACTGACACTTCATATGGCTGTCAAAGAACCAACGACTGGCTTTGAGGCATCAACGGTCCTCACTCACAGTCTAGAGTAATTGCTAAGTGACACAAGACATTCTTACATTTGAACATGTGGACAGAAGAATTACCAAAATGGCCACGTCTGCCAAAGACATTGCGAAACCGCTACTGAGTCCGGTCCGAGCTGACTGCAATCTCGGTAGGAGCTGAGCAGGGTTGACGATGGCAGCCAACCTGACAGCTAACGTTTGCTAATTAACCTGCGCAAAGCAGACTGAATAGATCAACCAAATGTCCGCAGGCTACTTGATGGAACAGATTACCCTCTATCAGAGCACTCCCGGTACTAATCTGTGATTGCAATCCTCCACAGTGATGCATCAGTGCTGCTTCACCTGGTCCACCAGTTCCTGGCGCGGTCAACTCTCAACTAACGTTAGCTAGCCAGCTACTAGCTAGCTGGGTTAGCTTGCAAGTTTAGAATTGCTATTTAGCTCCAGTCAAGTAGCTAAGCTTCATGTTAGCAGGCAACTCTCCAGTCACTGTGACAAGCCCTGTCCCGTAGGACCAGAGAGGTATTTCACCCCCTGTTCTGACAGCTCACGTTGGTCTAGGTGCATGTAGCATTGAAGCTGCTAAGTTTAGCTAGTTAGATGGAAGAGTGCAGTCTCCCCATGTACGTTAAGTTGCAATTAGCCAAATTGTCCTCGCTCTCTCCTTCAGTAGATGCTTGGTAAAAGACTAATTGCTCTTACCTCGCTATCCACTACATCGTGGTACGCGGGCGGGGGATCAAACCCTCCCGTCCCAGTCCGCCCGCTGTTTTCCCCGTCTCCACTCGAGCCCAAGCCGGGGGCAGGCCCGCTTTCCATCGGCTCATATCCATACCCGAGTCCGGGGCTTTCGTTTGTAAGGAGCGCCACTGCCTCGTTGATATCGTTCTTTGCTAGCCGGAGCGCTTTCCGTATCACGTCGGGGTCTGGGAACCCCATGCAGAGGAGCGTCGTTATGTGCTGCTCCTCTTCGGTCTCCATTTTTGGGGTGACTCCGTCTCTCAGACTAATAGTAACGGGATGTTCGGCACAGCCCTGTAGCTGTGCACGCCGCCATGTTTACAGTCCACTGCCGCTAGCCTGTCACGATCTGGCTTCCCCCACAACAGCGCCGACACAGGTGTTATGCCGAGAGCTGCATGCCAAGAACTGCATGCTCCTCGCGGGAGCGCGCACAGCGAAAGGTCCAGGAGGTTTAAGTGATGTATTTTTAACAGTGTCATTGGTGTATGGAAACATAAAAATAGAAATGAAGTTATCCACAATATCAGACGAACAATTCAGAGAGCGTAAATCAGAATATGTGATTGGGACTTTCTGTCTTAAGTTTCATTTACCATCTCATATTTGATGACTCTTGCATTGAGGAGCGGAGGATAGTCTTGAGCAGTTTCTCAAACAAAGTTGCAGCTCACCCTCTATCTCAGTGGTTCTCAAAGTGGGGTCTAGGGACCCCCAGGGGTCCTTGAGGGGGTTCCAGGGGGTCCCCAGCAAAAATGGGAATACTTTATTTTCATTATAATTCTATCTGTAAGTAGCACAGTGACAGAATGTCTGACTATTTCGGTCATCGGTTTCGTGTACTTTCTGTAATAAAACATCTAAAAGCAAAAATCCTATCAGATGGGGGACCCATGGGACAAAAATCATAAATCTTATCAAATGGGGGGCCGTGGTCTGTGTTAGTTTAGGGGTCCCTGATGTGAAAAAGTTTGAGAACCACTTCTCTAGCTCAGAAAAAACGATGCCTGCACATGTTTTAGCAGGAGGAGTCTGTGGAAAAAGAGCTACGCCCCATTCAATTCAATCAAGACACGCCTGAATGAAAAGATGGCTCTGCTTGGCCTGGTCTGGCTCAGCATTGCTCAGCCCAGCGTGGCCCAACAACCCAAAGCTCTTTTAACTATTCCAGGTTTACAATAAACATTTCAGTGTCAACTTCCCCTCCCCCCAAAGTAATATTGTTCACTGCCTCTTTTAGTTTAATTAGTGACCCTTATCACTGTTTGGAAAATTGACCTTTTAATTTTTTCCCTGACAGAAACTGGCTTTTGTAATGATTAGATAGCTAACAAAAATAACATGCACACTGTCAAGACACTCCCAGTGTGTTGATAAAGGAGAAGGTGGTTCAGCAGAGCTAATTTAGCTGCAGAGAAATGGATCTCCTGTTATTTCAGATGAGGTGAGTATCACACAAATATTGTAATGAAATTGGTTATGGTATCTAATTTAAAATATACTTATGAAAACAAGATGAATTGAATTAAAGAAAACTTAATATTATTATTGTTATATTAAATATGGTTTACTTATTGTTATTGGGGAATAAAACCTAAGCCTAAGCATGGGAAGAAGTCTCATGATTTATAGTAAATGGTGATAAAATACCGGATAAGGATAATATATATTTTTGGGGTCCAATGTAGGAATCATATCAAAACTGATGTTAGAGAAGAACCTTTGGTTTTTGTGTACAGATTTCATCAGACCACAAAAAAAGACAAAGTATCTATATACATATACATTCACTGAGAAACAAATTTTATTGAGGTTTATTGGACACAAGTCTGTACAGTGTAAAAAGTGCCACATATCATCAATTAATCTGCCATGTCAACTTTTCCAGGGGGAACCACTCATGCATTAACCTGGAGTACCCCTTTTACAGAGCGGCAGAAAAGGCTTGGATTGGCTACCTGTTAAGAAAGAAGTTGGAAGGAACTAAACGTTAAAACAGAAAACATATGAATTTATAGATAGAATATGATATGCTGGGACAAATTAAATTTAAATGCCTATTAAAATCATTTTGGACTAGCAATTGATTAGTGGACAATAAATATTTTTTGTAATTATTGCCGTTATTGCAGTGGTACACTACAGCCTCCATAAAACATACTTACAGATGACTAATGCCAGCTCTTTTCTTTGGACAAGTGTACTTTCTCCCCTTCTTTCTCTCTTCCTTTTTTTTTTTTTTACTTGATTGTTGTTTTACCATTATTAACACATTATCGATGAGTTGACAACTGTTATAAATGTTGCCTGAAGCTGTAGTAGTTTGCTTATATCACTAACACTGTTAGTTAAATCTTACAGACTGTAGTTAGCCCCTGATGCCTCACATTTATAGCCTCAAACAACATAAGGGCGTGGCAATGCGCGCGAGTGGTTGTGGTGGTTGGCGGAGGTCACGTGAACACTCTCCTCATGTGACAAAGGAAAGTCAAAATAGAAACAAAATGGCTGCATTTGGAGACGACGCCGCGGCGATGGATAGCATCTCCAGGGCGCCATCGGCGCATTCAGCGGCTCTGAACCCGGCTGGCAGCACCAGCAGTCACGGCGACGGCCCGGAGGATGTGGCCGACAGCCCAGCGCCTGCTCCCAAAAAGACCTCCATGAACAGTGAGTGATGTTCCCTTACAGCTTCCGTAGCTTGCTAATGCTAAAGTAGCAAACAGTAACCAATTGATTTTGATGTGTGTTATATTGTAACCCTTGTGTCACATTACTGTTTTTTCCCCCCTGTATTTGACTTTATTGTTTCCCCGCTGTGGATACATGTAGTGTTTGAACTGGATCAAGCTGTTTTCTATGTTGTATTTATTCTGATTCTGTTTGCTTGTGCTCAGGTGATGGTGGGGTGGAGACAGCAGAGGAGGCTGTGGAGCCTGCAGAGCCTGATATCAATGAGTTGTGCTCAGATATGTTTGAAAAGATGGCCATCTTCCTGCAAGGAGAACTAACAGGTATTTCAACATATTGCACATTTGCTAATTTGCTCTTCTTTCTCCTGCACACAGGAAAAGCTATATTATTAGGCAGAGCAGTAATTTACTCATGTACTCCTTTCTCATTTCCGTATTCACTACCATATCCCTGTGTTTTCTTTTCTCTCATGCATATTCTCCCCATGTCCTTTCATGCTCAGGAACATGCGAGGATTACCGTCTGTTGGAGAACATGAACAAGCTTACCAGTCTGAAATACATGGAAATGAAGGACATCAGCATCAACATCAGCCGTAACCTGCAGGATCTCAACAACAAGTGTGAGTGAAATACATTATCTGCACAAACACAATGTGTTGTTATATTCCTGTGTATTTGTAGTTTATCTGTTATTTCTACTGCAGCATGAAAATCTGGCTGATATGTATGTTTGCTTTAGATGCTAGCCTGCAGCCCTACTTGGACCAAATAAATCAGATTGAGGAGCATGTGTCTTCACTTGAACAGGCTGCTTACAAACTGGACGCTTACTCCAAGAAACTGGGTAAGACAGTGGTGAGACAGATTCTATATAAATTGTAATTCGTCACTAAATGTTATTGAAATTAATGCCTGTCAGTCTAGTAACATTTTTTCTGACATTGTCTAATCAACAACAGTATTTGTAGAATTCCACAATATACTTCCTTTACTTCACTATGTTTGGTGACTGTCTTGCTTTGCTTTGTCACTCCCCTACATGACTTTATCTATGTGCTGGCTATTTGGCCTGGTATGTGTGGCACAGACCAATAATAGTACAGGGGTACTTGCCTCTTTGAGCTCATATTGCAAAGCATTATAAGCTCCACCAGCAGATGGAGCTGTGACAGCACCTGAATGTTTCTACATTACAGTCGATCATTATCGGATCATGTTGCATTCTGACTTTAGCAGCCATTCGCTACAGAGTGATGAAGTCTCTGCCTTTGCTTGTCTTTACAGAGGCCAGATTCAAAAAACTGGAGAAGCGGTGAGGGGAAAGAAGAGGCAGACTGAGAGTTATGGTGCCTTCTCACCTTCTTGAATGCAGCCTTGCCTTCTCCTCTCCCTGCCAGTGCAGCCAGGAGCTGTGGGGAGGATGTGAACTGAGACTGAAATAACAAACAGTCAGAGCCACATTGACACCTAGAAATGACAAAGGAGGAAGCAGTTGATGGCACATAATTAGTACTGCAGAGCTAGGCTTAGATTTACCTCCAGTATCACTGATTATTGGCAGCAGTCATGCAGCTAAGATGTACGAGAGTGTATGGTGTATACCCACATTCTTTAGCAGAAACACTTTGTAAATTAATAATTACCAGCATGTCCTAATTGAGTGGTGGGATCAGAACACAGCAGACTGCCAGAAATGTGTACCATCGGAGTACATAACAACACTTAACAAATATCTACATGATAACTTCTGCTCCATAGATGTGTATTTGATAAACTCCCAGCCCTTTTAATCTGATCATAGACAGATATATTTCCACCCAGTAATATTAGCCTTACATGTGTATTGGGATTATTTGTTTTTCAACATTATATGTCCGTGCAGTATGAACATTACAACAAACTGGTTAACTTATAGTGTTTGCTACAACAATAGCTGCTGTGTAGAGAGCAGCTGAAAATCAACACTATCTCAACAGACTCTCTCAACAGAGAGAGTTTAAAATTTGCGGCTGAAAATGAAAGATATTTGATATAAATTAGTTATATCTATCTGTAGAAACTGAAAATAAAAACTGGAGTTTTTTTGTAAATAAACCATGACGTGCATAATAAATCATTGTATGACCTTTTGCTTAAAAATGGACCTACTACTAGCAGCAGATGGCAGTCCTGCACCATGAGAGACTTTGATGCATGAAGTAGTGTATAGCTTTGGAAAAACTGACCCAGTGCTGAATGAAGTTTAAGTTCCAGCCTTGTCAGAAAAAGAAAAACTCTGGGACTTGTGAGACCAAAAGAGGGAAACAGATGATACATATTTGACAATTCAAAGGAAAGGGTGACTAAAGATGTGTATGATGCCCTTTGCCTCCTTTGTTTCCTCCTTTAGCTGTCCCAGAGCAGAACCCAGAGCTCTTTTTGCCATGAGCAAGAGATTATCAAAACTGACAGGACCTCCCTCCTGTGTGTGGGCTTGTGTGTTGGGTTGGTTGGGTCATGCTCATATATGCATGTGTGTGTATGTTTGTGAAAGACGTAATCTAAAACAGGTCTCTGTCATTAGTCCTGTTGAGGCCCTGCACAGAGGGAGCTCATTATTTATACTGTAACATTATTTACTGTTGCCCTGCGATCCGTCCATCTATCCCTTTCCGTACCTTTTTCCAGGGCCCTGGGGCATAAATTCAGTTCCCCTCCCAAAGGCTCTCAAATCAAGTCTAGTAAATGATTTGAAGTTGTTTTCTGAAAGATAAATGTGAGTGCCAGGAGGCAGTAATCATAGGAAAATGTCTTATTTGTTTTGGGAAGTGCTGCAAAACAGGACCATACTGTAGCAATATAGTTTGGGTTTGGAAACTTATTATATTCTGTACTAAGTGTGTTAGTGGTTTTCAGATCGGGTGGATAGAAAGGACAGATGCAAGAATTGGTATGGGGTACAGATTTGAAGTCAGGCCATATTCTAGGCAAGACCTAATAGATTAATCAAATTGCGATGCCTAGAAGAAATGGAGTTATCTGGTGTACATGAGTATTTAGCATACAGACATGAGGGTGGTATCAGTCATATCACCTAACTCTCGGTAAGAAGGCAAAGAAACATATTTCCCCAAACGTCAAACTATTCCTTAAATGATTGCTTGTAGTCATAGAAAATCTCCTTTCAGTCAAGTCAAGTGGAAAATGTTACTCTCAAGTATAGTCTTTTCTCATGTACCTGTGTTAATTGCTGTTTGTGCGATAGTTAAGTGGTGGAGGTGGAGTATTCCAGAGAGAAAAGTCTTCTCAGACCTTGCAGACTCATTGGGTACCACCTGGTTTATCACTTTGGTCTATGTAGTGTGTCTCCATTCTCAGTCATGTAACATGATCATGTTTGACCCTATATAAGTTCAGAATGAAGATCTTTCAGCTGTACTTCGTGACCAACGAGTCATTTTTAAAGTTAATTACAGTAATAACAAGAAAACACATGCTTTCCCTCTGCTCCTCAGAAAAGACATCTCTCTTTTCTCTCCCTTTGTGTATAGGGCTCAGAAATGACAAAGTAAATGCTGATTCCCAGGGTTGAAATACACCACAAACAGCAGGGGACTTTGTGCAGACAATGAGCCCTCTGCAAATATGCTCTATAAAGAATCTAGCAAACCTCATTACCTTCCCAGCGTGCACTCTTTTACACTTATAGAGGAAAAACGCTGAGACAATGCATAAAGATATCTTAAGGTATGTCACATACAATGCCAGGTTATGTATCAGTTACATAGGGAATCATTTTGATTACATTACACTGTGGCTTCAACTTATACAGATATAATCAACTTAAAATACATATTACGCAAAATGTACCAAATCCTAACTTAACAAAGAAATTATTACACATCTACTGAAATGATAACGGCCTAAATTTAATTTGATCTGACAGACCTCAGGAGACTCCCAGAAATGTGACTGAGAAAGTATCAAACATGTCCGTCATCAGTTGCAGCAAAGGAGCTGTTTTCTCTGTAAGTCCAAAGTGGAGACTAGGCCAGTTAACAATAACAGGGCAGCGTGCCACACCACAGTGTTGTGTAACTGACAAGCAAGCACGAAGTTTGGGAAATTTCTGTTTGGCTGTGTTCATGAATGAGAACGAACAAGGACACTCAAAAAGCCATTTTCAAACCACATTTGTTCTGTGTCTTTCGGCCTTGCTCAAAGTTAGCATTTCACTTAATTGGGAAATGTCAACAAATTTAGTAGTATTGTGAAATCTCTCTTTATGCCTTTGTCTTTCACTCACTTTCACACACACACACAGACCGTGATGGGATAAACAGCCCTCCACAACTTCACTCCAAGACGTTTAAATACCCTCTTATGCCCCTGTAAAGCAGTGACACTATAAAGGCAGCCAAATGGCCTGAGATAAATGGCAAAGAGGTTCATGTTTACATCCATTTTGGATCAGCCAATAGATCTGGGGGGTATTTCAGTGGAAATATAAGCCACATGTGAGATCTGAGGGACTGAGTCAAACTTCAAATACTTTCTACGAGAAGGGCATCGCAAGCCACATGAGGTCAACGTTTGGCACCACGATCATTTACTTCACTCTGCTACTCACACCTTCATCAAATACTGGGTGCACATGTGAGGATGCAAGAACAGCGCAAAACATACGTGTCACATCTGATCCGTTTGAAACTATAACACCGGCGCCTGTCAGGTATGTAGTTCTTGGAACACTTTGACCAACGCTAGATGAATGCAATCCATTTTGATTGTGCTAAAATGTCCACACCATCACTCCATTGTTACAAATCTAAAATGAGACCAGATGGGACTGTGTCACAAAACTGTAGGTGTAGCATTATTTTGGATGGGAGTGGGAGCCCAGCCGTTCTCAGCAAGTGGGAGAGTCAGGGTGTCAGACTCTGGCTCCAGCCTCAGATCCAGCTCTGCTCCTTGGGGTTTAAAACTGGACTGAGGATGCTCTCTCTGCAGGAAGTCATAACCAGCAACGCCTGAGAACTGTCCTGTGTAATCCTAGTTAAAATGTGATCTTTCTTTAGTCCTGGCGTGTCTCCATAGGTGCAGCTGTTGTTTGTGTTCCCATTAAGACTTTCTGTGAAGAATCTTGCTTTCATGTGTAGCATGTCCAGCACCATGTCTAAATGGACTCAGCACCTCTTAGACCACACTCAGACTCGTTGGCACCAGAGCCATCATTGTGCATTTGTGTATAGCACACACAGTGACACTGACCACATACAATCTCTTGATGGTAGTGGCCCACACATTAACAGAAGTGGAATTTATTTCATAGGATATTTGAAAAACATGTCATTGGGCTAATTTTAGAGAAGAACATGCAGGTATAAGCTGTTTTCAACACTTAGTTATGCTTTACAACACATGCATTCATACATTTGCTAGTACACTATGTTACCAGAAACACAACTCCAAATGAAGTGTCTGCTAGATGTTTAAATTAATGGTAAAGGTTTCCGCATGTTTCACATAACAACCTTTTAAGGTGACACTATATATCACTGTTGTGTTTTGAGCTTGTTCCTCTGCCTCAAGTGGCCAGAAATCTATTATTGCGGCATTAAAAATCTTGCCTGCAGGCGTACTCTGCTGTAACACTCATCTTAATATCGTTCACAGTTTACTCGCATTTCAGAATATTCTCCAAAAGGGCTTTTGTGGGATGCATGGCGTGCGTGTGTGTGTGTGTGTGTGTGTGTGTGTGTGTGTGTGTGTGTGTGTGTGTGTGTGTGTGTGTGTGTGTGTGTGTGTGTGTGTGTGTGTGTGTGCATGCTTGCATGTTTCTGTTTTCCTTTTAACATGTGTGCATTAGCTCATCCAAATGAATAATATGTGTCCGGAAGCCATAAAAGGACAGAGTTGACTCATTTTAGTATGAATGTCCCAAAGGCTGTCCCAAATTGAGACGAGCACTCCCAACCAGAAAATAATGCAAAAGAACATAACACCATCTTAGCTCTGGTCTCAGTAATGAAACATGCAAAGATTCCCCATTCTTTCTGCTTTCTGTCTGCTTTCCGCTGTTTAGCTAGAGAACTACAACAACCTCTGTAGTATTACTGTTTATCAGCTTCGATCTCCACTGCACTCCAGTTCCATGGCTCTAATTATCCATGGATAACAAATAGCATGCACACTGTAGTGAACTGATGAATCCTGACTGCAGAAAGATTAAACCTTAACTGATAGGACAGTGAACCACTATCCCCTTCCTGTTCCTGTTCCCATTATGTCAAAACGTTATACAATTCATTATACAATTTTCTTTTATCATATCTAACATCATATCCTTATATTTCCTGACTGTTCTGAGCCAATTAAATCATTCATTTCTAAAACCTTTATATTATATATGCAGCCGAGTACGATTTTTTTTGATAAATTTCAATCAGGCTTATTCAAACTACTCAAACTCGTACTTTTTGATGCATGACTGCTCCATTCTGCTTCTGCTTCATATCAGTGCTGCATTTGGGTATATCTGGAGATGTGGGCAGAGGTCTGGAGCCAGACTATATCAGAAATTGCACATATATGATTTAAATCTATATAATAAAAGATGTTATGGCGCTTCGGATTTGTGAATCATGTTTCCTCATTGGTCAACATGTGGTGTGCCTTAGCGGTCAATTCTTGGTCCTATCTTGTTCTGAGTTCTGTACGCTTCCCCAAAGCCATGCAAACCATTTCTTATCAGAATTATGCTCATGATATGCCTCTATAACTTTCATTCAATAAAAACAATTTATATTATATCTATTATAATATCAATTATATACACTCATGTAATATATATAATTGTATTATTTTATCTGCATGTTTACTTATTAACTTTTATTAAATCAACCATTTTAAAGCTGTCCCTGTGTCTCTCTGAAACCGAGGCAACAACCAAGGACATGAAAGTGTTCTGCTTTGTGTTAGCAGTAAGTGCATGTGAGCAGTGTGTGAGAGATATTCAACAGAACATTGAATTAGACATGCTTTCACTTCCCTGTGCTTATGGGCAATATGAGCAGTAAGGGTGGGAGTAAGCCAAGGGACAAACTGTACAAAGACACATAGTCCTGAGGAAGGGCTTTTACAGTA